GGGGGTGAGAGGTTAGATAGAAATCGAAAACTTTTCAAATGAAAATATTTTATTTTGTTGTTTTGTTTTTAAAGAAAAGTCAAATTTTCTATGGAAGTTTGTTTCATTTTGGCTTATATTTTTCATGGGAGTTACCCCTCCATGCCAATGCCCTCTCAAATGTCTACTGTGGCTGAGAAGCCAGAGTCAGTCCTAGAATCCTGGGGCCAAATTCAGCTCCTGTGTAAGCAGGCATGAATCCCATTTACTTTAACAGAAGTTGAACCCTCCTACACCAAAATTAGATCTGGCCCAGCGAGTTGGTTATTGTACAGTATCTCAGCATCTGAGGAAGCAAGCTGCTACCTATGAAAGCTTATGGGTTGTTGATTTAGTTAGTCTATAAGGTACAAGTCTATCCTGCCTTCCATTGTACATTAGACCTGAGGCTTTCAGAGCTGCCTAGTGAATTTGACTGCTTGGTCTATATGTTCTTCTGAACACCAGGGAAGGAGGGAGAGTGGCAGGGGCATCTTTTAGAAGATTGCATCCTTCCCAGTGAAATCCATTTTATCCAGGCTTCTTGAGTGTTTATTGTCTTCCCCACACCCTACCCCTGTCTTTGGAAGGTTTCTCCTATCATAAAAAGTCAGTTAAAAATGGCGGGATGTAAGATTCCCTGTTAGATAAACTCCTATTAGATTGGGCGTTAAGCTGTGGAACAGACTAGGTATGCTAATAGCTTATTAGACTGACACTTCCTGCTCGGGTTCACTGGTGGTTTAATTGGCTTTTTGTACAGCACCGTGCAATGGTGTTTGGTTCACTTGACTGAGGTTGTATTTGCTGACTGAAGTATATTGCATTAACAACCTCCTTGCCAGGAATAGTCCAGTACAGATCTTCCAGCAGTTTCCAGGAAAGCAGGGCTCTTTCTCCAGTGGCCTTCTTGGATCACACAACTGTTGCCTCCATATGAGTGATGTGATGCTGGATTGCTTCTGCTGGGGACCTAGAGCATCCTTGCCAGAGGCGGCAGTCAGCAGCCCAGTGCTGGAGACAGCCTGGATGAAAATTTGATTCTGACAACAGCATGTGAATGTGTATGGCCAGAGCTCCAGAAGGCCAATCTCTCACTGCCTCTGATCTCAAATAGTTTTTATTAGTATAATGGAGAATCTCTTGGTTTAAGGAAAGGAGACTAAGAACAAAGCCCACATACACTGGTGCAAGTGCTCAGATGTGCCCATGCAGTATCTAGTGGTTGAATGCTGCAGAATGATGTTAAGAGTGGCCAGATATGCTGAGCTGGGTATTTTTAATGTCATCTGAACTTAAGGTAGAAAACAACTGCTGGATTCCTCAGCATGCACCAAACCCAGAGAGAGAGCTCGTTAGCAAGAACTTCCATTTTTTGTAAGAAATCAGTTAAGCAGAAGAGTTAGGGGAGACTACTGCAGCTGATGCTAAAGACCCCAGGGAGATGTCTGGAAACCCTGGTCTGCAAAACAGTTACAAGGAAAATAAGAGAGGGTTTACCGTGCTTTCCAGTATACTAGGCACTTTTTATTTCCTGAAAAGGGAGGTGTAAATTAAGGTGTGCTATATCCTGAGGCTCAGTAATGGAAAATAACTGAAATCAGTGTAATTAAGGCTGACCAAAATTCAGTTGAATTTACATTAAAAACCTTTTCCTCACAATATTATACTTTTGGGGGGGGCTTACGTTTTTTTACAGAGGTGCCTCTTGTACACTGGGAAATAGGATATGCATCAGATACATGTAGATCACCTATTTGTTGGGAAAGGGAATATCTCTGAGGGTCCCTTTCCTGCCTCCCCGTTTCTCATTAGTTTATGTGGGGAAAGAAGTTATTGTAAAGGAAAAGTACCCGGCAGGTGTAAATCGATGCAAATGACTCGTCTCTGGTCCCACACTCAGTTAGT